TGTGGAAATTCAAAGTGATGTTGGCGGGATAGCGTACAATGTTTAAAAACTGGCTAATCATGATGCGACATGTGTTACAATGGCAAATTTAATGTCAAAAAAAATGTACAAATAGCATGATCCTAATATTAGAACATTTCAATCAACAGGCATAAATTTGGACATCGTTGTAAATTCCACAAAAAAAAATTCAAATTTTGCTGTGGGCCTGTGCTGTGAAACCTGCTGCTGTCAAAAAGGGGGTTTTGGCTATTGGAAATTTGTAGGGTTAGTTGATAGTAATTTTTTGTTCAAAAATTCAGAATCCAGTTTTTTTTTTTTTTTTGTTTGGTACTATGGTGGCCTCTTTTACCATTCTATTGAATTCACCGTTGCCAATTGAAATTGAACATTTTCCCATCTCTGTTCCGCAATGGCATTTAATACGTCCTATTTTTAGGGTGTGGGGGCGGGGCCAAGGCCGGAGGCGCTGGGTTATTGTTTTCAGATATTTCTCATGCTCTAACTGAATTGTTGCCTTTTTCTTCATTTATAGAACAGTAGCCATTCAATTATTCAGCATCACATTTGCTTGCAGTTCATAGTAATAATATTTATTGCAGCTGGGGCTGTAGTGAAGTTCAGTTCGCTATTTCTTGATCTTTTTTTCTGGGATTTTAGAGCATTGATCACAATTCCCTTTCCCGGTATTGAATTTAAGCAAGGTTAGATGCCGACTGATGAATCAAGTAGCTCTATGTGGAGTAGAGAACAAGATAGGCAGTTTGAGAGAGCACTGGCAACTTACCCCGAAGACTGTTCAGATAGATGGGAGAAAATTGCGGCCGATGTTCCGGGTAAATCCCTAGAAGAGGTTAAACATCACTATGACCTTTTAGTTGATGATGTCGACCGGATTGACTCGGGCTGTGTGCCTCTTCCTAGTTATAGTTCTTCGTCAGATGGTTCGACTAACCATGCCAGCGATGAAGGAACTGGTAAAAAGGGTGGCAGTTTTGGGCACTTAAATAGCGATTCCAATCATGAAGGTAAGGGTTCCAAGTCAGATCAGGAGCGCCGCAAGGGGATTGCTTGGACAGAGGAAGAGCACAGGTGAAGTATTATTGAGTTCAATTTTATAATTACTCTAATCCTGATGACAGAAATTTGAGTGATAAATGTGTCCTAATTAACTTGTGGATGGTATAATATCACTTTGATGCCAGGTAGCTCCTGTTAAAACGGGTACCCTTTTATTCTTTTCTTCTCCTTTTTTATGTTATGAAAATTCCAATCTAAGCTGCAACTTCACAAATTAATCTCTAATTGGTTTTCCTTTGGAAAATGTCAATTCTTACCATTAGTTCTTTTTCAAACAGCATTCAACTATTATGTTTGTAGAATATTAGGTGAGCAATGTTGCACATCCTAAAACTTTTTGCCCTTTTGCTTCTTTGCATTCTCATTCTGCAAAGTTTTGAAGTCCATTGATAAACAAAATGTTCAATAGGTCATATAGTTTTTCGTGTCCTGCTTGCATCTTAGAGCAAATAATCATTTTTACACACATATTGGTTGAGGTATTCCCGACATTTATCTGCGTCTGTACATGGTTGACGGGATTTTATTTATTTTTTGTTTGTTTTTTGTGCTCTGCTTTCTGGACTTAAGAATTTATATTTGAAGCATGGCCTACATCCTCCTTTTGATTGGTTGTCCTTGCTAGTTTTCTAGTATGTCAAGGTGGCTCTCTTTACCCAAATGTTTGTTCACAATGTGAACTGTCTTTTCTTTACTACTGAGCTTCTTGTTATATTAGAGGAAGGATGGAAAAACTGAATTCAAATATTTATATGACATCCTGTAGAGGAAAGGAAGTGGATATAAATTTATTGAATCTAACCGTGGAAGAATACGCTAAACTTAATTCGATATAGTGGAAGTATCTTCTTGGTTTGGAAAAATTTAGTATGCATTTTATTAATGCCTGATTAAATATTCATAACCTATCAGCTCTTGAATCACTCACTCAAATATCGTAAATAGATTATTTTAATATTTATCCCTAAGATGTGTTGCTTGTAGGATTGAGTTACCATTTGCAGCTTCTATTTAGGGTGTGTTTGAGCCCCATTATTTTGGAAGAATGTATTTTGAAATAATAGATTGATGGAGAATGTGTGGTTGAAAAAGAAGGAAAAGTTATTGATGTGATGAAAAATATTATTTTATCGAAGAATGTATGGTTGAAAATGAGTAGAAAAATGATAAAAAATAATGTTGTTCAAACAGGGGCTTAATATACATTAAAGTTGAGAATGTAATTATGGGAAGACAATTATAACATGCGTCAATGCCAAGAGTAAGTTTCACGATTTTATTCATGTGAAATTTTCTGTATCGTCATTTGAATCAGATGTGTTCTTCAATGCGAAGGTACTTTGGAGTCAAGGTTGTGAAGTTAGCCTCCGTTTGTTTCTCATTTTTCATCCATAAAAATGAAAAATATGACCATTATCAATTACATCAAGCCATCAATTTTGAATTTCTATATCTTGTATGTGGCCCAATAACGGCTATATTTTTCATTCTCATTCTACAATAATGAGAATCAAACGGGCCCTTAATGTGCATGGATGAAATTCCTGCAATTGAACCTGGAACTCTTAACATAATTTGGCAATAATGTTCACTAAAAACAGAGCAAAGAATTAGTCCTGCACAGCATCTGTCGGTGAAATTGCTGCTCTTGGATTTGGTTGAGTATATGACTACTGTCATTTTAGGCAACTTTTCTAATAGTTACTGAAAGTTTAAGATTATGTGAATTCAATGAGAACCTTTTTGGCACAGTTTGAAGTAACACTTCTGCAGCTTCTCTAGCGACAAGCATTCAAAAACATGCTTGATCTAATGGGGATAATTTGATGCCCTAACATAACTGGGTTGTTTTGAGTGGTGCAATATAGCCAAAACTGCAATTGCTCTTAGATAATATAAAGAAAGCCTAAGAGCTATAGAAAAACACAACTAGGTGAACTCTAAGAACATGTAAAATTAGGATTAGACTCCTCTTCCATAATGGGTGGAATAATCATTATGAATTGAACTGTGACTTCTAACAAGCTCTTCAAAATTAAATTGAAGCCCTGTAACATGAATTTCTGAAGTTCCTAAAACATGCTGAATTGCTGATTGAATGAGATTTTAACTCTCGACTCTATTGAAGTAAACATTAAGATTCACAAAGAGACATTAAATTTTCCCAATCTCCAATATTCTGAAGGCCCTTAATGTTACTTTTGAATATTGCTTGAACCTTGGAAAGTCTTTTCCATGGATTCAGTACTTGAAAAAGCTCATTATTACGGGGGGCAAGGCATAAGCCTGAAGACAACTGATACAATAATTCAAAAGAATATAAAAATACAACATTGTGCTCATAATAGACTGTAAACCATCTTAAAAATCCATAATATAACAAATTGACAAAATTAGAAGTCTAACTTGCAAACAAATATAAAATCAATACTAAAGTAGCAAATAATAAGATCCAAATATTTTAGTCGTAACATAATGCAATATATTACTACAAGTAGAAACAACCCAGAACTCTCCACTTCATCACTACTAATATCTTTGGAGAAGTCTGTAAACCCCAAAAGCTAAAACCAGTAATATAATTCTTAGAGAAGACTAGACAAATGAGCAAACACCATAGTCGTCATGGCATAGCCTCGAGGCTTAAACTCGCAAATGGTACTTGAGGCGTTTAATGAAAGCCTTGCATGAGGCAGAACTTGAGGTGGAAGCCTCAAACCACACTTTTTAAAAAAATTACCTTCTAATTATACTTGTTGAAGTTTCCGTGTGAATATTTCTCCATTACAAATTTTTTGTGCAAAATAAACATAAGAGAAGGAAATTTTCATGTCAACATAAGAGAAGGCAGAAATAGACGTGACTTGAAATTGTTCGCAAAATTGATTAGAGCTCTTACACATAGTAAACATGTTGAAAGAATCTGAAAACTCTTAATCATACTTTAGTTTTCACTCGTTTACGATTTGAGAAGGTATCATCAAGTGACGTGTGGCAAAGATGGTTCTTTTCTCATTTTCCATTGTCATATTATACTATATTTAATATTGCTTGATGTATTATGAAACCTCTGAAATGGGTAGACACTAACTAATGGATTCCCAAGTCTGATAGAGAAGTCTCTCAGCTTTAAGCAAAGTTTACTCAACACAATAATGTTTCATTTCATCCTTTCGTGGTCATTGATCTGGTCGCACAAATTCTCTTCTTCCACTTGACTTGACAGAGAGGTTCTTTCCTACCGAGATAAATTATGGAAGTGGTTGGTTTTGGGATTGCATGTACTTAGAAGAGTTGGCCTATTTCTGATCAATTCCATGCTGAAAGTAAATAAAATCAAAGAACAGAAATAAAGAACACATTTTTGACTTGTATAGGATTCTAGGTATAAGAGTTTTCACTATTGTTTGTATGTAGGAAATAAAATATACAAAAGTATTACTAAAGTTAGTGTTGAACCACTTCATTTAAAATTTCAAGTATTTCAATTTATCTATGACAGAAATCGGGGAGGAATCATGGAATTAATTTCTAATATTCTTTCCTCAATCAATCACAAAATGAGGAAATTGATTCCCTGATTTATCTGATTGTCTAGGTTCTTATATTTGTTTAATTGTGTAATTTAGTTTCCTTTATTAGATAGGATTGTTCACTATACTGTAACTCTTTCGACAAGAAGCATGAATGAAAATACTAATTTCAGGAGTTAGTATCATTACAAAGAATTGTCATACCAAAAAAAATTTCTGCACAAGCATAGTTGAAGAGACAAGTCTCTAACCCAAAAATAAATGGATCTGCTTTGAAATTCTATCTAAAGACATGGTACTGAAAAGCCAAACACAATGGCTTAATTAGGGAACTTTACTCATGCAAGGAATAAAAGTGCCAAACATTATCCATAAACTAACAAAGCAACCAATACAAAAGTTCAAATCACTAAGTCAAGAAGAACAGCCCCAGGATAATTGATTATTTTCCTTCTTCTCCTCAAATGTGTTTGTGTGGTTGTCAGTGGGGGAGGGCGTAGAATTTTAACTAATGAAAACAAAACTATCAAACTTTAATACCAAATAATGTGTTTAATTACCAAGATTTGCATAAGAAGTGGGAAAATATTCCTCCAGATATCTACAGAACAAAATTAAAAGTGATGCGTCAATTTCGAAGCATCCAAAAAACTCATGGCTAAGTATGGAGCAAAAGCAAGGCAAAGAAATGGCTTAGATTGAAAACCCATCATTGAAACTAACTAGTGGCCGATCAGTTTGGAAACAAAAATGGGCTGACAATAAATCAAGCACAGAAAAGAACTCTCAAAAAGAAAAGGTTTCTTCTCATGAACAAATTATTTTTCTCTCTAACGGTTATCCTTTTCTTGCTTTTTGCCCACCTTGAAGAAGCTTTTGTAGAATTAGCTTAGCCTTGCATTGAGAAATTACTTTCTGGGGAGAGTGGGCCAATTTTTACGGCGAATTAACTTATTATGCCCCTGCTTGACAACCATTATTTGAAAACTATTTTTTCTACATACTCATTTTCACCACATTCACGTAATAAAATATTATACACGTAAACTCAAAACTTTTTCCTACTTTTTAACCACACATTCTCTAAAAAATCACTATTCAAAACATTGTTTTTTCCAAATAATGGTTGTCAAACAGAGGACATATGGAATTAAGCTGTTAGAATGATCTAACTGTTATTAATTACCAAATTTAACAGTGCAATCTGAATCTGTTGCTTATTTTCCTACTTTCCTCATAGTGCATGTTGATCACCTTACATTGTATACACTAATTGGTGTGTGTGAGCATGTGCCACTTGTTTATCCTCTCACAGTCTCATGCAAAAGTTTACTACATTATTGTGTTAAATTGTTGGAAGATGGAGAAAGTTACAACAATCTATGGACATGCTTTACATTGCCTTTTTTATGTGGAAAAGAAATGCAACAAGGACATCCGATACATATCCCCTTTACATGAAAGCTAGAAATTTTGTCTGCAAACTCTAGTCTTTGCCAATGTCGCAATTTTATTATTTTGGTGTTTTAGTAGCCTTGGCGTCAACATTATACATTATTGTGCATTTAAAAGCACCTTTAAGACACTTGCTAGGAAAGAGGCTGGTGGCAAAAACCCATTGGAGTATAGTACCTTTTCTCTAAATAAATGTGCAAGAGCTTTATGAGTCTTTGTTGATGTGCCGTAACTGAAGAACTTGAATTATTGCACTTCAGTTTTGGTTTTTAAGTCCCTTTAAGCAATAAAATTCTTTCTGATTGTAATGGTACCTGAGTGATTTTCAAATAACTTGCATATTGCCTGGTCACATCTTTTGCCTTTAACACCTCCCCATAACAACAGATGACTTTATTTTTCTTACTCTAATTAGGCGGTTTATAAATCAGTGCCCAATTTACTGACCATGTGCTGTAACATCTTGAAGGATATCAATGCAAAGGACTGAATTGGGAAGAACATTGGTAGCAGTAGAAAGAAATTGATGAACATCTCCCATATACTACTCTAACAATGGAAGGTCTAATTGTCTGTGTCTTGCATTATTAATATGTTTACTGATGAACAGTAATCATTCCAGTTATTGGTTGTGGTGAACCCTTTTCTAGTTTGTACTGAATCCTTCAAACGTATGTGAAACCTTAGTTTGAAGGTGGTGTTCACTACTTAATGGCTGATGGGGATGGGAGTTGTTGCATTGACATAATGAAAGTATTTTTATGTTTTTACCCTTGTCAAATATATAAAGGTTTAATGCCTGAAAGCTTCTTTATAAGTTGTCTTTCAAACTGGCCATACACAATTTTATGGCTGAATGCTATGGAGAAGGGGAAATAGGTAATCCTTTTCTAATGGAGAAGGGAAAATAGGTAATCCTTTTCTAATGTATTATTGTTTATATTTCTTAGGAATTATTGTTGAAAGATTAAACAGTTTGGCTTGGCTACGCACGAGAATTTAAGCTTCTTTTTCTTCCTGTAATTCCACGAAGACCTGCTTTTGACTACGCAAATCTATCTTGCATTTGAAAGATGGGAAAAATGAAAAGAGAATCAAAACTTGTCTAGAGATATCCCAAATTATTTATTGAGCCTCTTCACTTCTGCTTCTTATATTCGTATAATTCATTTTACATCATTGAATGACTACTGCTGATCTTCTGTGTATTTTAGAGCAGACACAATGTTGGATGTGTATTCTGTCGTAGAGATTTAAATACTTGTGCTAGAGTTATTATACTAAAGGTGCTCTGATTATTTGCCTATTTCTGTAATCGTTTCATATATGTTCGAGGCACAAATTAACAGCATTTTGTGTTTGCTTTTTGGTTATTTTTTTCTGACTTTGCATTTTGCTTTAACCTTGAGCATGACATATATTTTCTATTTATTATTATAATTCAGGTTGTTTCTTCTTGGTTTGGATAAATATGGAAAAGGTGACTGGCGAAGCATTTCCCGGAACTTTGTGGTGACCAGAACTCCTACACAAGTGGCAAGCCATGCCCAAAAATACTTCATCCGTTTAAACTCTATGAACAAAGATAGGAGGCGGTCGAGCATTCATGACATCACTAGTGTCAGCAGTGGAGAAGTTTCAGTGCCAGAAGGTCCAATCACTGGTCAAACAAATGCTTCTGCGGTGGGAAGTTCGTCTGCCAAATCAAACAAACAACCTCCTCAAGTCCCAGCTGCTTCTCCTGGAGTTGGGATGTATGGAGGAGCACCAACTATTGGGCAACCAATAGGAGGACCCCTTGTTTCTGCAGTCGGCATGCCAGTGACTCACGTGGCATATGGTGTCCGAGCTCCAATTCCAGGACCCAGTCCTCAGACTAGCATGGGTTCTATGACTTATCCAATGCCACACACATCTGCCCATAGGTGATTCAAGTATACATGCAGAAGTACATGAATTGTACCCAACCTATCTATTTCTCAGATGGGCTTTTCAGGTTCGTCTAAAGTTGAGAAGGAATAATGTTTTCTGTTTTGCAGAAACATGTAGAATGAGGGTCATTTTTCATTCTTCTTATTAAATCTAAATAAGCCAGAGGGAAATTGGTATTCATCTGTATAGACAATTGTCAAGATGTGGCAGCGTTAGGTTCAGGAGAGCATTATGGCTTTATATATAGCCAACAGAAGTTTCAAGAGTATCACTAGTTCAGATCATTCAAGATCAAGTAATGTTCATTATGGTGAATATTATCAACAGTTGTTTTTCTCCTGACGATTTTTAGTAGAATGAATATCGAAGGAAATTTTTAGCCAATGTTGCTGTTAAAAAGCATACAAGCTATATCCGTAGTATATTAGCTTATACTTGGGCTTCTGAGGGTGACGGGTTTTTCTTGCCTTCTGATATTGTGGTTATCTAGTATTATTTTCTTATGGTTGGGAAATCGCAGCCTCGGATCAATCTCGATTTACCCACGGTTAAAAGATGAACGTGGATTGTGAATGTAAAAAGAATCCCATCTATGATTGTAATAGAAGTTTCTTGTTTGAGCGAAGTAATGTTTCTCGAAAGACATGGTTGGCAGAAAGGGTAACGTTTAAATGATGTCGGTTTAGATTGTCCAAGAGTTACAAATCGTACAACTTGGTTTCATGTGGGAACTGCGTCAGGTGTTAACAACAACGCAAGTATGTGCTATCAATTGGAATGATTGTTATGAAGTTGGGCGATTTGGTTGCGACCTTATTATAATATTATTTTATTGAAAAATGTGTAATTGAAACAAAGAGAGATATGTATTATAATTTTAATGGGGGCCAGACAGGGGACTTGATTGAGACATTTTAAAATTTATAATCGAATGAAACTTCGCTCAAAGTAGTAAGACCTTCAATAAAATTTACCCTTAGATACAAGAAGGATGCTATGCATGTACAGGCCTCAATAGAAACCTATTTATTTGAAATTAATTGATTAATACTTCCAGAATGATGGATAATAGTTTGCATTCTCTTCAGAATTTTCAAAAAGGTACATTAAAATCTGCAAACACTTGAACAAACAAAAAAAACTTACAGATTCACATGATACCAAATTTACTTCATCATTTCCAGTTGTTAGCAACAATGTCAGCCAGATCAACCACCCTCTGTGAGTAACCCCACTCATTGTCATACCAAGCAATAACCTTAACCATGTCATCTCCCATCACCATTGTCAATGAAGAATCAACTGTCGATGAAACATCAGTGCACCTGAAGTCCACTGACACGAGTGGCTCGTCGCACACGGATAAGATACCGTCGAGTTCCTTTTCAGCAGCCTCCCTGAATGCAGCATTAACTTCTTCGGCGAATGTCTTCTTCTCGACCTGGACAACGAGATCCACCACAGACACGTTGGGAGTCGGGACACGAAGAGCAATGCCGTTCAGCTTTCCTTTGAGTTGTGGAAGGACAAGTGCCACAGCCTTGGCAGCACCGGTCGAGGTAGGAACAATGTTGAGGGCTGCAGCTCGTGCACGTCTAAGATCCCTGTGGCTTGCGTCAAGAAGCCTCTGGTCTCCAGTGTAGGAGTGAGTAGTTGTCATTGTTCCCTTAATAATGCCTATGATATCAAAATTTTATCAGCCTCATCATGTCAATTAATACGAGAAAATAAATAGTACGAAACATAAGTATTGTCAAGTGCTGTGTACTTAACATAAGCAACACCATCCGACATGTATATGTCTGAAAGTGTGTGCATGTGTTGCAGGGATGCATTACCAAATTTCTGGTCAAGGACTTTGACAAAAGGTGCTAGGCAGTTGGTAGTGCAAGAAGCATTGCTGATAATAGGCTCATCAGGGTTGTAATCGCCAGCATTTACACCAACAACGTAGGTAGGAATATCACCCTTTCCAGGAGCTGTGATGAGAACCTTCTTCGCTCCGGCTTTAATGTGTCTACCTGCACCCTCCCTATCTACGAACACTCCAGTACCTTCTATCACTAGATCAATCCCCAAATCCCTGGAAATGAAATTATTTGATCAAAGAAAACAGCAATTATTAGGGCGGAAAATACTTAGCTTTTGCTCATGGAAGCAAAGTTTTCATGACTCGTTTAGATTATAGTCGCGGTCTGATGAGGCTATAAAGGGTGATTGAGATCAATACATCACGAGACAAAATAGGCATGTTTAGTAAGTAATACTAGACATGGTTAGACGGTACAATAGACAGGGTTTTACTTTCTTTTTCTTATATAATACTGTCCAATATTATCTAGTCCAAAGCGTGTACGAAAATGCAATGAAAAATATGTATATAAGAAGGAAGTTATTACTTCCAGGGAAGGTCGAGGGGGTTGCGGCTGGAGACGACTTTAATGATTTTTCCATCAACAGAAAGGCCATCATCGCCAGCAGGTTTGACATCGGCTTCAAAGATACCGAGGATGGAGTCATATTTGAGAAGGTGAGAGGCTTGCTTGACACCACCAGTGTCGTTAAGAGCGATGATGTCAAGAGGGGAATCCTTCCTTCCGTGCCAGCATCTCAAGAAGTTCCTACCAATTCTTCCGAAACCATTAATTGCCACCTTCAGCTTGGCCTCAACTACTCCCCTCTTGTTCTTGTCTCCACCAACCTGAACAAAAAATACAAAAACCGAACAAGAAGATGTTAGCACCCAAAATGCAACTTCAAATTTATTACCCGCTTTTGATATTTTCAACTTGTAAGTTCCTTTAATGATTTAAAAACCAGAAGTATTTATGATTTAGACGTTCATAAAGCTCCTTCTACACTTGAATTGGTAGATTACATGTAAATAGTGTCCAAAAGACTTGGTACAGCCCCCATTGTGTACATTATCACCTAAGTTATGCATGTAATTGTTCAATAAATTCATCTCTAGCATAATCAAAAACACTTCTTTTGATCTGATGCCTGGCACTACTTGATTGCTTAGCATTTTAATCTTCATTATTCTTCTTATTTTAAGCTTGGCATTAATTAACTTGCTTAAATGAAGATGTAAGTTCAACAACAACGCAACAAACTATTTGTTTCCAAAAAATTTGGGCCAACTATATGAATCCTTCTTAGCCACTCCATTCCAATAAATTTTTTTCAAACATGCTTCGATTAGTTACTGTTATGTAATTTATTTTCTACTAATTTTTATTCTACAACTTATTTATTTACTCATTAGTCATAAGCAAACTTATAACCGCAGCCAAACCTGCTGTAGCCATTTATTTAGTTTGTATCAAGCCCGACAAAAAAAAAAATGAAGCTCGACCCCAACCTTAAGCCGGCTCGAATATAGTCATGAGTTTCCCAAAAATAGTTATTCTTTGTTCATTCAAAATACTATACTATAAGAAAGTTCAGCTGGATTAAAACTAAAGCACCTGTCTCGAGGCCAGCAAAATTTAACTACACAATTCTATATGCTGAACAAGTGGTTGTAAAATCTATAAAACACGACAAGATTAGATGTTGCAAAATCTTGCTTGATTCCACGATACTCACAACAGAAGTCTGGAAGGCAATAACAGAGAGCAAATCATCGTTTGTTGTCCTCGCGAATGGAAGAGAGGAAGACGAATTGCGAAGCCCAGCAAAGTCGGAGAATCCCTTGCTCCCAACCTGCAAACATTATTGCTCAAATATCTAAGAACAGTGTATATCAACATGCAGACGATGAATAGATAATACTGTATATGGTTGTTCAGTATGAAACCTGGAGAGTTGAATTGGCTACAGAAAGAGCAGCCAAAGCCATGACAGCAACTTGCACCAAAACAATGCAGAAGCAGCACAAGTTAGTAGCAAAGAAGAGAGTGAAATGGGATAAAAATGGGTGATGGATGGGGTGTTTAAGTTTGAATTCTAATGGTGTATGATGAAGAGAAAGAGAAATGGATCAGATTATTGATGTATGGCTGTGGTTGTAAATGTCTCTGTGTGACTATACTCCTCCTCAAGACTATTTTATTTCTTTAGAAATTATTTTCTTCTATTTATTTATTTAAATTCACCATATTTATCAGAAATGCCAACATGTCAATGAAACTCTTTGCTATAGGCTGGATAATGTTGGGAAATCTCTTGTCTATATCCACTGAGTGCCATATGATCAGAAATGTGTGTTTTCCTATATATTCTTGGAATGATTAGGCATTTGAGGTTAATGTATGTCTTTCATATAGATCACAAAATATACCAATGAATAGTGAAAGCAAAATTTGTGGCTTAAAATTTTTACATGTTTTGGGTACAATATAGTTTATGAGTTGGAATACGAGTGTCAAAATTAATCTACGGACCCATATGGCTTTTACCATAAGGTTGGAATGGGTTCGGCTATAAAGGTTCATGGATCGTTTGTGCTCCCTTGACATAAAGTGGGTCTATATTGAAATGAATTTTTCTCTTCTTTTCAAAAAAAAGGTTCATGGATCGCTTGTGCACCTTGATTTAAAAAGTGCATTGAAATCCTACAAAGTCCATTTCTTTTCTTTTTCAAAAACAAGACATCTTACCGTCACAGTTTTTATTTTTGAATTTGTATTTTAAAATAGGAAAAAATCCATATATAAGAGTTTGACTATGATCAAATTCAAAACTAAGAAATACGGTTTAAAATTTCAAAAATTAAATATTATTAAATTTTATTTATGAAATAATTAATTAAAAAATATTTTATTAATTAAATATATTAAGGTCATAAATTATCAAATTAATTGGTAACAAATTATTTTTCAGTTACAAGTAAAAAAGTTGTATAGATGATAAATTATTTATGGGTTACAAATCAAATATTTAATTGGTGTCACTTGATTACAAATAAAAAAATTTACAAGTCACACTTTTTTATTCATCGGTTACAAAATCAAAATTTTTATAAGTCACAACTCATTTATAAGTTAAAAATTGTCAAATTAATTGATCACAACTGTACTCGATCACAACTTAATAAATTGTGAGTTACAATCACATTCTTTAGATCACATATCATTTATTGATCACAAATTAACCAATTTAATAGTCACAAAAACCATCACAGCACATCCGTCCACCCATGACCACCATAACCACCACCTTCACCAGACCGTGCAAAACCACCACCATGCACCACATCAAACCCACCACCACCAAAGTAACCACAACACCATCATACACAGAACTCTGGCACCATAATTACTGCTAGATCGCAGCATCACCAAACACTCTCACCAAATCTCGAGTGTAGTGTGCAGCACATGTGACCACCACCACCACAAAACCACATCACCACAAAAATCACCTCAAAAACCACCTTAAAACCACTTGTGACCATCACAACACCACCACCGCCTGCACCATGACCACCACCCAGTCACCAGTGATATAAGATAGTGTTAATAATTATCCATGATGGCCGGCTACTTGATATGCACCCCCTATGGAGTACCACATCATAGGCCGCTTACCACTATAAGGTCGTCGACCCCTATGAGGACCGTCTACCACTATCAGGCAGTCGACCCCATGGGACCCTCTACGTTCACATAAGTCATCTACCACTATGAGACCCCCATGGGGCCTTCTGCGTTCACATAAGTCATCTACCACTATGAGACCCCCATGAGGCCCTCTACGTTCACATAAGCCGTCTACCGCCTCGACCCTCATGAGGCTCTCTAAATTCACATAGACCGCCTACCCCATGAGGCCAATGTTATACTTAACCATACANCATGAGGCCAATGTTATACTTAACCATACAAATAGCAATGAGTTGGATAGAAACCACCCAACGGCTAACATGGGCACAACCAACCTCTTGATGAGTGGGGGTCACCACGTTAGAACGTGGTGGAAGTTGGAAGGCTTACGTGGGACACATAACACGATTAATCGTAGAACGTGGGTGTTTTATCAGGTGCCTATAAATATTTCCAAGGTGAGAAAACGTATTCTACTTGAAACCTGAATTGTTTGAATTCCCATATACTCTCTTCTTACTTCCTAAAAATTGATTACTGATTCTCAAGTTAGAGGTACAATGGGAAAGAAAGCCCCGACCTCATTTTGCAGGTATCATACGCTGATCGGAGTACCCGAAACACTCAACACATCAGGAGAACGCGAAGGACAACGTTACTACAACTTCATTGGCGCCATCTGTGGGAGACTACTGAACAAGAAAGCTATAACAAGGAGACAAACAATGAGTGAAACTCGCATGGTTAGGAATAGGGCAGAGACGAAGTCGGAGTCTGTTGCAAGGGGTCATGACCTGCCACTGCAGTCGGAGCCAATTTAGTGTCTTGGAAACATAATGGCAGTTATGATGACCCCTTGCAAAGTTAAATGCAAAAAATCGCAGCCCACCACAAAACTCGTCTGAAGTAGTACATGAGCAACCACCCCAGGTGGCGCAAACGGTTATCCCTCCTGTTACTCAGCTAACTACACGAGACTCGGGGGCTACAGGGTTTGTGGTTCCACAGATTCACCAACCCATGACAGACTTGAAAAAGAAGATAGATGAGATGATGAACTAGAAAATAAATGATGCATTAACCAAAAGGAAGGACATGCGCAGATAAATGGTGTTGCAGGAAGATCTATTTACACTCGAAATTATGGCCGTTCCTTTACCGAAAGACTTCAAATAGCTAATGATAGAAGCATATAATGGAGTCACAAATCGGCTTGACCAATTGCAGACCTTCGTTGATTTAATGAGGCTCTATGCAGCCCCAGATACAGTGACGTCGGTCCTTTCCCTCGACACTCAGGAGGAAGGCTACAGACTGGGTGGCCACCTTGGTACCCAGGTCTGATAAGTGTGTTTTTGAACACTTATTTAATACTTAAACAGGCTAATTATTGATTAAAATGAGTGGATTTCTACTCACAATTGTGTAACATTTGCTTTTGTAGGCCAAAAATTACCCAAGGAAAGAGAACAAGGCAAAATGGGGAAAATGACTAAAATTGTACAAAAATTGTGAAGTTGAGGACCAAATTGTACAAGATCATAGTTGAGGGACTTGACGTGCAATTACTAAGGGACTTGGTTGCAAAATTAAAACAAAAAAATGGTTATTGGACAGAGACATGGGCCACTTTTATAAAATTTGGGAACATTTTCGCCACTTTTAAAAGTCGGGGATTATTTTAATGATTTTGTGTAATTCTAGGGACTAAAGTGCAAATTCTGAATTAATTACTAGGTTTTAAAAAAACCCTTCCTGTTGGGACGTAAAAGGCAGTTTTTTTTTTTGGGTTGATTTTTCTGGTTTTTTTTGCTTTTCTTTTGCTTTTTCTTTCAGCAATTTCTTCTTCTCTTCTTTTTCTTTTCTTTTTTTTGGTATTTTGAGG